ACACATGGAACAGGGGTTGAGTGAAAATACAATGGGATGAGACTCTGTTCCTTATAGAGAAGAGCTGGACCAACTCAGAGTGCAATGAAAATGCTCCCCATGGCTTACAGACAGAACAATAGTGAATATAGTCAACCACCATCGACCAGGCACAGGGCAATCAATCTCTACCTTCTGTGACCCAAGTACTTTTCTGAGCTGCTTCCTCCCACCTTCTCGCTCTGACTCTCTCAGCACCTGCTGTATTAAAAATACAATTACACCCTTGGAAAGTGATGGATTTAGACTCTGTCACTCTGTTGATGACCTTTAGATTTAAAACTGGCTCCCAAGTGACCTCTGCTCCACAGGTCAGTAGTTAAGTCGCTCATTCTCTCCGTCTCCTTTCATCGTGCAGCCTTCAAAGAACAAAAGTCAGATCTGCCTTGCTCATACTACTTTAGCCATGGTCACTGCATATCATTCCCCAGCAGGAAAGAAATGTGTGGGAATTGGTTAAATACTGGGAGATAAATTACTAAATAATTCATGAATCATACGCCTCTAAACATGAGTCCTTTCACCTCATGCTTGGATCAAGACACTAGGATGGATCTTAGTGTCCTAAAACAACCTGTTTTGCCATTTAATTTGGCATATCCTGTGAGTCTCCCTCTGTGATGCTCATTTTACCCTCCTCCTCCCTGATTTAGACTAGGTACAACAAACAATGCTGCTGAGCACATGCCTCACCACAAAGTCTTCCTCAGCATGGGCAATACTCCAGAAATAAGGCACCATGCCAATCTAGAATCATACTGTGCCTTGTCCAGTGCTAGGTACAATGTATTCACATCAGCAGGGGTCTGAATCCACTGAATCTGAGGCCAAAGCCTTGTCTGCAGACCTGCCCTTCTTCTAACCACGGGCTGGCCATCACTAGGATTCATGCACAAGACGACAGTATCCTTGCAAGATACAGTTGCAACCTCTTCCTTTCCTTACTCAGCCCAAATATCCAAATTCAGTTACGTTCCATAGCCACAAATGGAACACTGAGGAAGTGGACATGATGGACAACACCCTGCACTCTTGTTCCTGGTGATGCATGGGTTACTTTTAGGGGCAGTGCACAATGACATTGTACCTCTCCTACCATCAGTTCTCTTGAGCTCTGGGGTAGCTGAAGAGTGGCAGAACTTGTCTCTTAGTGCCCAGTCTCTGGAGGAACTAATCCTCCTAATTTTAACTGAAATGTGAAGCTGTATTCTGTCACTGATCCTGTTAGAAATTCCAAGTACAGGAATGTCTCATTGAGATTTCTGCATCACAAACTCATGGGAGGACATCTCACATACAGCTCTGCAGGAGTACCATGGGTTGGAGGGGGCCATGACTCTTTTAACTTTGCATCGCTTCTTTTGGTGCCGGAGATACCAAAGATACTTCTAGAAAATACCACTTTACCTGGTCTTCCTTGAAATATTGACAGCCATATTCCACCAAAAAAAAAAAAAATTACAAAGGGTAAAACAGTGTTATTCACAGAGGTCTATTTACCACTGTTAGTCACAACTAGGGGACAGTAGGATCCTTAACACTAGGGACATTTTTGTCATTTATACTAAGGTTTTGCCACTGCAGAAACACATATGAGACATTTTTCAATCATCTCCAAATGACTTGGTACATCTCCATAGCACAGTTCCATTATTTCACAGCACTGTGTTAACACGGCTATGCCATGCCCACTTCCAGCGGAGGTATTGCCACGTGATCGCCAGCATACAAACTTATTTGGCATTACCTACTGTAAGCAGAGGGTCCTCTCTAAAGTGGCAGTCTTGCTTAGTATAAATACATACTGAACATCACATATAAATACATTTTGAACTTCACATTTGCTGATTTCATGACTTTTATACATAATCCCTTGAGAAGATACCTTTCTGAGGCACATTTTGTACAGAAATCCCTCTCTTGGTGTATCACAGAAGATTGTCAGGGGTGTGAGACATTCAATCAGTCATGAAACTGGCCCTGTGTCCCAGTGATTTCCCATCTCTTCTTTACAACTTCTGCATCTGCCATCTTAGTGTTCCTCTTCCTCTCCCAGCCTCATATTCAGCTGGGAATTAGGTTGTTCCCACCAGATGTTATCCAGAAAGAACAGCTTTACGTCCTAAACTGCCATCAAATTTGAATTAATTTTTATATCTGAACCTGGACTCCTGTTTGAATCTGTAGGTTGTGCCTGTCTGAACAAGTCAGATAACAATAGACTCAGAGTAGAAATGAATTCTTTAGAGTGACTTATGCTTTTTAAAATGGAGTTGATTATAATCTTTTGAATTGTGAATATTTGGAGGACATAAATAACAGTGTTGCACAATGAAATTTTAGTTATCTGTCTTTTTCAAAATCTTCTTAGCATGTAGATTGAAATGTAATTCAACCAAAAAGGGTAGGAAATAGTAATAAACAAAGAATTCTTGTTATTCTTCATTGTCTGATAATGTCATTTCTACCACCAAGACTCTTGCATAAGAGACAGTACAAACATCCTCTACTGAAAATCACATTTTAATGCTTTTGGGGTCTTCTAGCGAGTGGGATGGAAATGTAAAACAAAAGTTTAGAGAAATTTAGAAAAGACAAAAATTAGTTAATTAAATAATTTATTTGGAATATATTAGAAGTTAAATAACATCATATAGCACAGAGTGGTATCAGTTACACTGTATGTGTTCATGATCATACAGATAAATCCCCAAAACACAAAGAAGAAACGACCAAAAAAAAAGTCTTTGGTAGATAGATTAGTGAGATACTTGCTGAGTGTAAGAGCAGGGAGCTTCTAAATTGAAAGGAGATCAAAGAAAGCACTGATATGAACCAAAGCAATAACAAGAAGGGAAGGTTTTTTACCACAGAAAATACAACAAGCATATTACATTACAAAACTCCCAGGTTTTCTTTCCCTTCCTCTGGATGACAGCTTCTCACAAGATGTTTTGCCTTGCCTTGGTGACCGTGTGTTTCCTGAGACAGCAAATGACTGATAGACCAAACAGTACCACCACACCTCGCCAATAAGTGCCCTGATTTACTTGGACTAATCTGTTCTACTGTAACTCCAGTGAGCCAGCAGAAAGCTGGGAGGAGGACTTGGCTCATTACCTCTGAGGTGCTGCTGTGCACAGGAGGCTGTGGCTCCATTTAATCCCATTAAAGTGGGCAGAGGTGGCGAGAAACAAGCCACATGAAGGATGTACTCTCAGTGCCTTTTCACTCAGCTGCCCTCCAGTGCAGTCCTGACAGCTCAGAAACACAGGGATAAGCAAGCCGACTACTAGCAGTGTTCAAAACCAAAATCAAATCAACAGAAACCCTTTCAGTTTTTTGTTTTTTCCTTTTCTTTTTGGTCAAACTCTGTCCACTGGCATGCCTGTGCCTTTCAACACCAGTCCTGGACGGGGTGGGCTGTGTCCTTGGTCTTTGTCAATTCTCAGGACAGCCCAATATACCCGTAGCAGGAGCCAGCCCTGGCTTCTTTGGTGCATCTGATGCTTGATGAGGCTTTGAAAGGCAGCTCAGCTTCAGGTGCCAAATCCCCTCATGCAGAAGGGCTGTACATATTACGTGCACAAACCCTATCTCTGCTTTCTGAAGGCACCTCTTTGTCTCATGAACAAACAGAAACAGCCCAGGGACGTGCCTTGGCCTAAGGAAGCTCCATTTCTTCACCAGTCCTGAACAATTGTCTTTTCTAAGCCTTGACATGTACCTTGGTCCACGTGGAAATCCAAAGGACTTGTCAGCGGGATCTGACCAGGAAGGCGTTCTACTTCAAGCCTGTGTAATTTTTTTCTGCTGCTCTGGGCTGCTCTGTACCTCACACGAGGAGCCCAGGCCTTTTATGGCACAGGTTATAACTCGATCAGGAAATTAAATTTTTTTTTAGGCAACAGCATGAAACCACTTTCACGAAATCTCTTTCAACCTGCTTATCATCCAAACACCAACGAGCATGATGGCTGGGGTTTCTCCCTATAGGGAAATTACTTGCTGAATGAAATGAAAACCATTTACACCAATTTCTTTGTCCTTGCTCCATCAGCCCATTTGGGATAGTATCCAGCTACAGCTACAGCTATAGCTACCTCAGCTACAGCAGGTGAAATCAAGGATTTAAAGGCAGTCAGCTGGGTATGCAAAGACATTTATCCACCAACCTCTTTTTGATGGGCTTTTAAGGCATCTGGAGCATAGCTGACTATCATCCTTCACATGCACACTGGTACTGCTACAAAGGAGGAGGTATACTCTGCCTATTGAACCCACTGAAACTCATCTACAACTGTCTTCTTTAAGTTTAAATTGGCACTTTGCTTTAACCAAACATTTAATTTTATTTAATACATTTTGCTCTGACACTAGGGATCCCTCCAGTCTGACAGAGAAAGATGTAGCCAGGTTCAAGGACTAGGACTTGCATTCTCAAAAAAAAGAATCAAGCTGGAAATAAGATTCACAAGCTCAAGAGTGACTGCAATTAGCCCCTGGAACAACTGGTGGAGGACTGTGTCAAATATCACATCTCTCAAAATCTTTCACTACCAAGGCCAGATGTCTGTCTTGGACAAATTTTGTGGTGCAGTCATCATTCTTCATCTCAGTAGTGTTTCCTTGAATTAGCACGGGAGAATAATCTCTTTCTGTGTCAGAAACACTGAATGAGTTTCTACGGCCTGATTTATGGAGGAGATCTGGGTAGAAGGCTCCTCTGTCTTGGAGAGGACTCAGCGAGACAGCAGTGAGTCCTTCCAATTTCCCAGGGACTGCAAGTTCTCCCTCTGGACCTCCAGGTTTTTGGATTACCAAGGATTTCCTTTCCTATTAAATAAAAATGCATACCAAATAAAATAGTAATAAATATGAAAAAATATTCACAATACATAGAGGAGCAAAAGGAGAGGGACTATCAAGACTAGCACCAAGACTGCACATCTCACTGCTTGCTAGGGAGATGATGTCTCTGACCAACACTCTACTATATCGCTGCTCATGCCAGGACAGGAGACACCACAGTTTTCAATTAGTGTCAGCTCCTCCATGCTTTGCAAGTGTGGGGCTTGCTGGAAGAACCCCAGGATGCTGCTCCGAGCTGCCACTGCTGTCTGCTGCAGGCCTGGCTCCCCCAGGACCTTGACAAGGAAGTTGATGTATCTCATGGCTAAACGGAGGGTCTCATTCTTGCTCAGTTTTTTGTCTGGTGGATGGGTGGGAATGAGTTTCCGCAGTTTGGCAAAAGCGCTGTTGACATTTTGCTGCCTCCACCTCTCCCTGGTGTTGGTGAAGATCTTCCTTGTCATGCTTAAGGTGCTGCAAAGCAAAGGAGATGGTGAGTGAATTCTAGATAACCCTGGCTACTAGGCTAGTACTCTAGGGGCTCTGTAGCCTCTGGGCCAGTGGCAACCCCGCAGTGGTGGTTCTAGGCTTCTAATTTTTGCCCTCTGTTGTTGATGCCCTTGTCCCACATGTCCTGCACAGATTTGCCCTAATCACTGAAATCATGTCCCCGTTTACAGCCATGATTATAAGCATTGCAGCTGCAACCAGATGCCAGTAAAAACTTCCTAAAGGAGTTAAAGGAGTTTAATTTCCTCATACAACCATTTGGTGCTTCTACAAGCCCAGCTTCTCCAGGCTCTTGAGAGTTTTCCTGCAACAGAATTCCCAACAACCAATCCATTTGTGATCCCATCAGGCTCCATGAGAGCCACACTGATGCTTTTGATGAGGAAAAGCAGGTAGATCCAGTGCAGAACACATCCATGCTTTCCCAGCCTCTTTTCACAACTTCCTGGGGTCTGCTCCCAGCTGGCCCAGGCTTGGTGACTGAAACTAAGCCAGGTGTACCTTCATTGTGGGCCTTCAATGAGCAGATAGCCAACACTGCAGGCATGTGTGACTGTGGTTATTTCAAGAGCCTTCTCCAGGGAAACAACAGCCTGGTTCCCTGCCCAGCCCACACTGGCTGCTCATGGCTGGTGGCAGAGACTCTTCAGGTCTGATTCATTCAGGATTCTGCGTTAGCCCCTGAGATGCCAAGGCTAAGCCACAAGTGCCATGAGTGCATGAGGAAAAGTGTGATTCCTAGAAAATGCACTGGCATTCCACCCAAAACCTCTGCCTAGATGTTACCTGCCCACCCTGCCCCACAGAGCCAAGCAAAGGGAACCCAGTCACCAGAGCAGACCTGGCAACAGAGCAGTACTGAGCAAGAGGTGCACAAGGATTTTAAATGCCATTTACCAGAAAGATGCTCAAAAGATCTTTGGGTTGCCCTAACTCTTCTCCCACCACCAGTGAAAAGTGTCTTCCCTTCTCTTCCACAGCCCTGGAGGAGACACTCACTCCTCCATTTCTGAAGTAGCTCTTTGTGCCAATGGCACACAGGCAGTTGGAGCAGGGAAAAACTATCCACAACCAAGAGACTAAAGGACAAATGTTTCCACTTACCCTCTTACGCATGTGAAAACACCAGCTTTTTATACTCATTGGCAAACTCCTTATAGCAGTCCCATGGGGGAGTGGGGAGCAGAGGGAATAGCACCCTTCACCCTGGGAATAGGTAATTTCAGAATGACAGCCCAGCTGTGATCCCGTTTCCATTTGAAGCAGCCTCACATCATGCAAGACACTTGGGGTTCACCAATATACAGAGCAATAGTCCCAGTGAACAGAGAAAAACACAAATGTGACTCAGGTTAATTGGGATGCCCTGCGAGGGAGCCAAGGCAAGGGAGTTCCTGCCCAGCTCCTTCAAGTTCCAGTCCAGCACTGATTATCCACTGCCAGGGAAACACATTTGCAGCACTATAAATCATGTCGCAGCTGTGGTCAGAGATCTCCAGTCAGAGATGCCGCCAGCACAGGCACACCCTTGTACTCTGTATATGGCTCACACCATCCCAGCCTCACAGGCTCCTCTCAGCCATGGCCTTTATACTGCTGACACATTTCTATTTTGGTAGAAGTCTGAAATTACTGTCATGCCTTTAGGGGATGAGAAAATTGTCTCAGCAAAATGTCCTTGCTTCAGGAGAGGCTCATTTAAAAAATAAACCCTCATATTTCAGGTTGCTGAGAGTTTTTCTTATGTTTTTTTTAGACTTACATTGAGACCCATTGCTTGATCCAAATGGGGATTGTATCTCTCCCTCTCTCTTTATTTTTTTTTTTTTTTAATATCGTTCTCCTACTCCATGTATCGCTTTTGGTTTGGGCTGCGGGAACAAATCTGCTTGGTGCTTTGCACCCACCTGAAACATGCTGGATGTACCTTTGTGGCAAGAACACTGCCACATCAGTGGTACAGATTTTAAACACTGTCTTCCAGTGCTCCTCTGTAACGCAATGTGTTGGCTGCCCAAGGCAAAACTTTTGCCTTCACAGATTTATTCTTCCAAACAGCTGCTCGGATTTATGTGAAATTCAAAGTGCCACCTGCTTCTCTCTCTTTCTTCTGTTTTGGTGTTTGTGTTGTTGTTCGGGTTTTTTCCTTTTTTTTTTTTTTTTTTTTTTTTTGAAGACATATTTATCTGTGTACAAAGGCAGCTATTTTTTATAATATAGGGAAAGTTATTTGGGCTTCTGGATTGCATTTTGCCACGTCTTTTGGTCTCTGCAATGTAATTCTGGTATGTGGGTCAGCATTTGCTGGATACCTGATTACATCTCAATTATAAATACCAACAGAACAGAATGTCTACTCCTCCTCTTTCTCCTGCTGCACACAGTCCCCAGCACAGCTCTCCAGGAAAGCAGGTGAACATCCAGCCCTGGTGCTGTGACCATGCCATCTTATCCTGTTGGTGGAATTATCGGTGAAAAAATAAACGCAGCCTACTCCTTCACGCCATGGTGTCTTTGTCTCTCTTCTCTTGCCTCTGGAAAGGACAATACTACGCTTGTGGTTACAAGCCTTGTCAGCAAACAGATGCCTTTGTGAGATCAGCTCCTGCTTTGCACTTCAAAAACGTGTGTTTTTGTTTCTGACATTTATTCAAGATCGGCAAACAACAGCTCCTTCCCCCTCCCAGTGCCTCCTCTTGCACTAATAGCTCTATGGGCAACTTTGTTTCAGCTGTAATCCACCTCCATACATCTCTCCTCCTCAAATTCCTCTCCTTTTTACCTTCACTGGTGTGGGTTTCCTGTTGTTATGCTTGGAGTTTCAGCTAGAAACAAGGAGAAAAATTATCCTGGTCCAGTCCTGCAGTAACTCTAATGTTTCAGCACAGCTTCTTTTCTCTATCGGTCACCTACGCATCCTTTGAGTTCTCTGTAACCACAGCACCTTCCAGTTAAAACACAGCCAGTTACTGACATGGGATCTGATTTCCATTTCTTTTGTCTCATTCTCTTCCTTCTGTTCCTTCCTTCTTTCCAGCCCTCCCCACCAAGCTTGTCTGTCGATGTGATATTACTTGCAGTTTCAGGTCTTTGGTAATTTTGCGCATCTGAGCAACGTATTCTCTAGCTTTCTCTGATGCACTATGTAAAACACTTACCATCCAATGGCTGTGTGCAGCTTACATCCCTGTCATAGATTATCTTGTTTTAAAGAAAAAACACTCTGCTTTGAATTTTTTCCCTTTATCACTGTGAAAGAAAGGTGTTGAGCGGGGGAGGGGTGGGAGGAGATGTCCAGAATGAGCCACACACACAAAAGGGCTGGTTGAATAGCCGTACATTCCAGGCTAATGACTCTGGGGAGACCGGAGAGAGAGAGGGAAGGGAGGGGATGGCAGCTTCTGTCAAGGAGGTGCTTGGTTTTTTGGGAGTTGTTTTGCCTTTTTTGGCTTTTTTGAGAGGCGCTCGGGGTGGGGCTGAAGGGGTTCAGCTCGACTTTTCCCCTCCGAGAACTTGGGGGGGGGGGTGTGCGTGTGGTGAGGAGGGCTCAGAGTTCATCTTCTCGCCCGGGTGGCTGGTTTCTCCTAGCCCCCCGATAGAGGTCACGTTTCGCATCTGAGTCCTCACACTCTGTTCTGCCCCACTGCCCGGATTTTGCCTCAAATTCATCGAAAAAGCCAGTGCGGAGGAGCCTTTGGGGGGAAGGGCCGCCCTTCCCCTCCTCCTTCTCCCGTGACGGCAGCAGCGGCACTCTTTCACGAGGAAGGGAATCCACAGCCAGAGCCACCCTTTGCCACCGTGAGCCCACAGGAGAAGCCGCCCCTCCGTTCCCTGCCTTGCCGCGCTCGGGGGCGGCGGGATCGGACCGCCGCGCTCCTCCCCCCCCTTCGGCCGCGCGGGCCACCCGACCCCGGCAAGCGCCCTGCCCGGCATCGGAGCAGCCGCGAGTCCCGCCCCCTCCGGAGCCAGCGGCGCCCCCATGCTGGCCGAGAGGGCACCGCGGCCCCGCCTCCCGCGGCGGCAGCGCCCCCTGCTGGCGGTGCTGTAACTGCGCCGGGAGGAGCGGGTTGTGCTCGGGGGGCGTTTGGCTTCGGGATTGTGGGTTGAGGTTTTCTGTTGTGCTACCTAGAGGTATGTATCTATTCTTTAGTAGAGAGCTGATATTTTTATTTTCCACACCTTTCGACTCGATTTCGAAGTTTTAATTGCTCAGGGGGAGGAGCTTGTTTTTTTTTTCCCATGCCCCGCCCTCCTGGCTAAATTTCTGTCTCCCTAGACTGAGACAGTCCCCCTGGTCTGTTTTAATTCTGTGCAGAAATCAGCTGTTTGTACATATAATGGACAGATTTGTTGCATTAACTTGCAGGCTTGGATTCTGTACTTTATTCTCACCTTCTCTAACCACAGAGGAACAGCCCCACGTTTAGCTGACAATTAAAAAACCCAGGAAGGCAGCAGCTTAAATTCAAGAGGATTAATCCTGCTTTTAGGAATGTAAATCTGGAAGTTTACACCGTTTCCACTGGGGGAATTACTTCGAAGGACAAAATTTTGCACTGAGGGCAGGATTTAACTCAGATGAAGAAGACACATCCAGAAGTAGTAGGTAAATGCAGCTTCAAGAGCTGAGATCCACATCTGCAGTGTGTAAAGAGAATTGTGCAAAGGAACAATTCCAGCCCAGCAGTGAATCTGCTCCACCAACCAGAAGGAGAAAAAACAAAGGGAAAACAAGCCACCACCCACCAAACAGATAAATGAAGCTCTTTCCACCCGCTGCCTACCCACTTGAAAAATATAAAAATGGGTTGTGGGCGGAATGCTGGCTGTGTTTAATGCAGCCGCGAGTGTCGCCAGACAAAAGACTAAACCACAGAAAGATGAAGATCTCTCCCGAAGTAGCAGTTCTCACAGCCTTTCTAACGCAAAAGCCTTTCAGGCAATTCAGGCAGCAGCAGAGCAGCTCAGGCACAAAGCACATCTCTGCTAGACATTCCCCAGTAAACGGCCCCGAGCCAGCGGTTAATTGTCTGAGAGCTGGCAGGGGACTCGCCAGGAGCCCAGCACTCAGTCATAATTAGCAGGATGCTATTAACTAAAGATCTTGGACAAGAAAGTTCCTCCCTCAAGTTATACTTTTGACCTCGGTGAAGTTAAATTCCTGTTGAAGCTGGCCACTGGAGACCTGCTTCTGCAAATCTTAATCAGACAGCAGATGCCAGCTGCCAGCAAGGATTGGAGTGCTTCTAGTAAACCTGCAGTGCCACACCATTACTCCTCAGGGGAAAGCCAGCGCCTGCTAAAATTGGTTATTTAACACATTGCATTGGATTTTGTAAAGTCCCCTCAGCCCTTAAGTAAATGGCAACAGAGGAGCAGATGGTTTCTGTTTCCAGTATCAGGCAGGTGCTGGTGAGCCTGATCTGCCTCAGGGAGCAAGGATTCCCCACCTATCACCCCTTGCCACTGTGCTTTTTTTCTCTTTGCATCCGTGTGATGTGTACAAGAGGAGAAAGAGGGAGCTCAGTTTTCCTTTTCAGTTTCATGAAAGCCTCTGAGCATGGAACTTTGCTTCATGCAGAGGGCAAGACTGAGCATGGGTGTCATGCCTATCCCTAAAATGTGACTTTATTTTTTTCCAGTTCCCTAGGAGAATAAGCTCATTCTTTGCAGCTTAACCATGCTCTGTTTGCTGGGTGGTCACTTGGACTGCAAGGACTTTCTTTGGGTTGGGAGGGGAAGGAAGAGGAGAGGGGACAATGCACCCCAGCTTGATGGATTGCAAGAAGAGCAGCACACCTCTAGGTACAGGCTCCCCCTTCCCAGCTTTCCTCAGCTCACTCTCTCCATTGCTGCCTTCCTGTATCTTGGCACTGTACCCTCCCCGAAGTGCCTCCCACCTGAAACCCCACAGGTGCACTGATGGACAAGGACACAGAGAGAGATCACAGCGCCGAGAGTGAACACTGGGCTGGCAATCAGGGAGTTGAACTTCTGTCCACGTTTCTGTGGTTCCCTTGCCTCAGGCAAATTCCTTTCTTTTTTTTTTACTCCCTGTGCACCTCCTTGTCCTTCCTACTTGTAATTAGTTTTCTTGCTTATAAATAGTTTGCCTCATCTGCAAGGTTTGTGCAAGGCATTTTGGAGCATGTTAGAGCAGATACCAGTACACAGTGGCCCATTCTTGCTTGGCACTGGCAGGTGCTGTCTTTGTGTGATGAAGGAGAAGAGCCTCTCTCAGCTCTCCTGGTGCAATTCCTAATACTAGCAGAAATTTTATTTTATTTCAAATAAGATGTGGGAAGAGAAGCCACTTCAGGAGTAAAAAAGGGCTCCTTTTGCTGCCTCATGCCTCTGTTGGGACTGTTACCTGACAATCATGCCATGGTACAAAGTGCAGCAGAGCAGCAAAAGCTCTATAAAAACCAGTCCATGCTGACACAGTGATTTACCTTCTTTAGAGTCTGTAAGTCTGTGCTTCAGG